CAAGGTTTCTCCGGTGCGGAGATATAGCTGAATGATGGCCATGTGGAGGCCCTCCCTCTGATAGCCCACAGCCATCCAGCCTTCTTTGCAAAAGTGTTGCAGGCTGTGAAGATGGTGATGAGGAGGATACAAGCAAAGGAAAACCCCCTGTGTTGCCTCCGCGACCTGTGGCCTCAGCCGGAACACCCAGCGCTCTCCATCCTCTGGTGATGTAGTATTGCATGACATCTTGTAGCTTGTTGTCGTTCAGGTGAGTTTCCTGAAGAAAGAGGAGGTGATCAGCCTTGGACCAAACCCAATCCTGAACTTTCTTGCCGAAGGAGGTGACGTTGGCAAAGCACATCAAGACATCTTCATAGTGAGTTTTGGTCCTTTTGAGGGCAGGCTCAGGAACGAAGAGGTCATCAGAGTCATCTAGCATGTGGTCATGGACAAGCCAAACTTGGAGAACTTCGGATTCCTGTAGTGGGGTGAGCTCCCCAATCGGTTGTGGATATTGGTTGTCATCAACACTCCATAAGGCGTTATCCAGTGCATGGATGGCTGTGAAGTGCCCACTGTGATGGTTCTCTCCGTGATGCAGGATCATGGCAACAGTCCTGTAACCAGCTTTGGATACGGAGACCCCATCATTGGAGTAGGGCACAGTGATGACCGGAGGGACTTCCAGCTGTCGGTGGTGCTTGGTCCACTCATTCTCAAGGCGCTGGAATCTCTGAATGTGGAAGATCAAACAATCAGGAGCTCCATACAAATATTGACCTTCTTCTTCATTGGCCCACTGATTGACCAGTTCAGTCAGGGTGATGGTAGAATCACCCTGAGGGCAGATGAGATTGATCGGTACCTGCTCTCTTTCTTCCAAGACACCAGAGGCCTTGAGGTGGAAGAATTTGCCCCCAATGCTTGGTGGAGCCGCTGTGGTGTAGAGGTGACCCACAAAGTCACCTACATCTGCTTGTTGTTTGTCATCGAAATGTGCCCAGACATCCATGAGCTCATGGATCTGTGTCAACAAGCACGGTCTCGAGGAGGAGAGAAAGGTCCTGAAGGCCTGATGAAGTCTGCCCCACGTTCGAGTAGGTTCCATGGTGAAGCAACTCATCCAGCTCCAGCACCTGAAGACAGAGTTGCCAAAGCACCGGTTGCCATCATTGGCGGCTATGCTGGTGAGATTCTGGGCGATCAGGCCTGAGTTCGCCTGAATGAGTGGAGGATCTGCTTGAAGTCCTTGATGCTTGTATACCAACCGCTCCATTCGTTGAAGGTCAGCCAAAAGTTGCTGACCGTGATCCTAAGTCGGAGCACGCAGGTACTCCTGGCATGATGCCTGAAGGTCCTGATGCCCAGTTTGAAGGAGTTGTTCTTGGACTGGGCTGTGAAGCTCTTGTTCACAATCCATGCTCTTGAGGATGCGGGCCAAAGCTTGGAAACCAGAGGTCCCGTTGAAAGCACTACCCTTGGGGGTAGGCTCTGAGGTAGAAGAGCTCGGTGCCTCTGTTTCCAGCAGTGGGCCACTTCCCCCTTTGACTTTGAGCCCAAACTGTGAGTGTAGGAGTGGTCAGGAAAGTTGTCAAATCCCCTGCAACTTGACTGACCTGAACCCCAGTCCATGTGTGTACATGGTTTGAACCCCAAAGTGTTGAAGGAAGCTGAAATCAAATCGTGCTGCAAAGCCTCTCTGGCTTGGTTACCCACAAGAATGTTCCTTATCACCTTCTGCAAGCTTGCGGCGCTTGGCATCATCATCAGTGTTGGAAGTGTGCCTTTTGAGCATCGACTTGAGCTGGTCCTGCTGCTCTTGTGTGAGACTGACTCCAAGAGTGCTGATGAAACCAGCTACAGCTTCTGGTACTGGATCTTTCATTTCAGCATCTTCGACTAAGTGAACAGGATCAGGCTGCTTGCTGACCAAAGTCATGTAGGCCGTGCTTGTGTTGTTGAGCTCGCCTTGCTCCTGTTCCATTTTGGTCTGGATGAGCTTCATTTCATTCAGCAAGTCCTGAAAGGCCTTCTTGGTGGCATCAATCTTGGACTGCAGGGTCTGCTTTCGGTGGGACAGGTCTCGTAGACTGGACACTTGTTGCTTGAGCTTGTTGGCAACATCCTTTTCCGTGGGTGGCTGAGGCTTCGTGATCTTCTCAACCAATTCCTTCACGGGTGCCGGGAGTTGCGCCAGGTTGTCCCTCAAGACGTCCTGCAAGTCAGGCTCAGGGCTTGGAGGTGGTGGGGAGATGCCAATCTCAGTTAGCTTTTGTTGGAGGCCTGGATCAAGCTTGTCCCATGAGGATGCAAGAAGCTCTCCAGTGAGTTTCTGAACTTTGCTCGGTCTGCTGTTGCTCTTCCACAGTCCAGGCGGGGGCGTGACACTTCTGGAAGTCTTTCCTCGAGCAAGCCTGGGTGGAGGGGACCTCGGAGCAAATCCTTGAGGAGGTTTCTGCCATGCGGTGCCGCATTGCCGGCAGACTGTGCCTTCTCGCACTCGATCCTGCCATATCCAGTTGTGACACGTGGATGTCTGGCACACTTGATAGCCTCGGCACCACCTTGAGGAGCTCGTGGGTGTCATAGTGCTCGGGGATGTCCACCAGGTGTGGATGCCTTGGTCCTCTACGAACAGGCCCAGGTGGTTCGTTGTGAGGTAGATCACCCTCGAGCTCAGCCCGATGTGCGTGACACACCAGGCTTGATGCTGAAACGGCTTGAGCCAGACATATATATACCTAGGTCTTCAAACGAGCAGAAATAATGCGTTTCGTAGCACTTTCTTAAGAATCGAGCACTTTCTGGATAAACGAGCAGTTTTTGTAAAACGCGCAGTTTCTTGTGTGTCCCACGCATTTTTTCAAGGCCGCACTTCGAGCGCAAAATTCCGCACACGAGCGCAAAAAAACGCACACGAGCGCACTTTGGAAAACTGCACCTGTTTTTGCTTTTCTTCATTTGCAGCTCGAGCACTTTTTTTGCAAAACGAGCAGTTTACACCTCGAGCACTTATTTCTGCTCATTTGAAGATCTAGGTATATATATATATTAGACAGTTTAACGACAAAAACTCGCGACAGTAACAGAGATGCTTTTCCGGGGGTCGAAGCAGCTGTTTTTTTGATAAGCTCAAGCACCGTTTTGATCGCTCAGAGTCGGAGTCGGCCTTTCGGGCCCCGGCCTGGGGTCTATCCAATCCCTCAGGCTCCACGAACTTCAAGGAGGAAGCCACAGAGCACCGTCCGAGCCAAGAAGAGACGCGTGAGACGCGTGAGACGGTGATGTGTCGAGATGAGCCGATGAGTTTTGTCCATTTTTTCTCTCTCCAGTAGACGTAAATGTCGCCAGGTCCCTCAGGTCGACCTATTCTATGTTGAATGATATTGATATTTTGTGAAACGTTTGGAGGATCTCTTGATCCCAAGGTCGTTCCTTTTTTGCACGGTAGCATCTAGAGGATATTAAGGAAATATACCCCAAGCTCATGGAGCCGTATGCCTTGAGGTTGATTGTGCCCCATGAGTGGTCCAGACTGTGCCCTTCTCAAAAGAGATAAGAGAAAGCACACAGTTTCCCAGCAAAATGCATAAACATGATGGAGTGATGGAGTGAGTTCAGACAAGATTCTGCGCAGTTTAGATTCAGATGGTTGCGTCTCCTCCTGAAGTCTTTGCACCTTCGTCCCCACCCAAGGGGCAGGTCCAGTGTTTGGAAGGCCATGATCGAGAGGTTGTTCTAAAATCACTGTGAATGCCTCACAAGATAGCAACCAACCATTCATTTTTCCATGATTTTCACGGAAACTCTTAAAGTGACTCTTTCCGCCAAACTGCATCCCTACTTGTAGCGACCAAAACTGAAGAAAAATCCTGCATTCTGCCGGGCGTTGGCAGTGCTAGCAGGCTTTCGGAGTCCCAAAAACTCCTCAGGATGCCCTGCGCCTGGGTTTCTTGTTTTGGTGGTTGCACCAGCTAGTCATGCACGTCAGCTCCGGACTCCGGAGCTCTTCCATCAACAGTTTCATGGCCTACTCTTCGCCACCGTTGTCATTTTTACAAAGAAATCCACGTGGACGTAGATAATTGATGATGATTGATCGACACTCCATGGGACTGCCATATATATGCCGATCGGGTTGGGATGGTTCCTGTGGTTCCTAAGAAGGCGATTCTCTTCCAAAACCGCCGACGTCCAGCGGCTTCCGCCTCTTCGCTCGAGGCCACGCGAGCGAAGCCTTGCGTCAGCAGCGCGCCCAGCTGCGCCGCGAGGCCGTGGAGCTCGGGAAGAAGCCCGGAGTGCCCAGTGGACGGAGGAAACGGACGAAGCGGAAGACAGAAGGAACACATCTTCATATTTTCAGGAAAGACATAGGAAACCATTGGTTCCAGCCCCTTTCTGTTTCCAAATTAGTGCTTTGTCGTTTAAAGAGCAGCAACAGCAGCAGCAGCAGGGAGGAGGAGGAGTAGTAGTGGTGGTGGTGCTGCGACTACTACAGTTACTACAGCTGCTGCTAGTATGTTAGTAGGTGGTGCTAGTGGTACTGGTACTAGACTTGCTTTTGTTTGATTGAATTGTTCCTGTTCAACTGACGTCGGCGATGCCAGCCTCTGCACCAAGGCTTCAGGCCTGCGTGAGCCAGGCCGACGCCTTGGTCTCGGAAAACCTGCGGCTCCGCACCGAGTCCGCCGAGCTGGAAGAGGCTGAGGAGTGGAAAACGTGACGTGAAGACGCTGGGAGCTCGTTCTGGTCTGATTGAAGTGTGAACGGGTTGCCATATTGTCACTAGCATGGGTGAGTGCATGCGAGAGAAGAGAGAGATAGCCGTAGCCGCAGCCCAATTTGACCACGGATCAGCAGACATCCACCAAAGAGAGTATTGTCAGAGACTCCGAGACCAACGTCGCACCCCAGGCCATTGGTGTGTGTTTGTGTTATTGAGTTTATTCCGAAAACATCCCAAAACGAGAAGCCGCCCCCCGCGTGGCGCATGGTGAAAAGGCCCGGCCGCCGCAGACATTTGGCACAGAAACAACTTGGGTGCAGCTTCGGCCGGCTCAGAGATGGCGGCCTTTTACGCCCAAAGGCACGGCACCTGAGCGATCAGGAGCCCGGAGTAACAGAGTAATTGTGCGTCCGGCAGGAATATTGCACCAGTGGCTAGCAGCGGAATTCGTACTGTGGCCCCTTTCTGGGGAACATACGGCCCAATATGACCACGATTGAACAATTGTTGAACAAATTTGGCCACTGTATGTGCTCGGTGCGATATGGTTGTTATGTTTCTTTGTTGGCGGAGTTTTATTGTGCCGGGATGTTTCACAATTTGACTGCTAATCACATGTGACAGGCAATATTTTGAGCGGTTCCTAGGCCAAAGTGGCTCGGCGGGGTGTAGGTGCACTCGTGAAGCTTTTCGCAGGAGGCTTGATGGTCGATGTTCATCCTTTCATTGCCTTCCCACAACCTCTCCAATGCATGCAACCATCTGGAAAGCTTGGCGCACTACTGATCCAGGTTGCACACATTACTGAAAAAAGGTCCAAAAAACCAATCCCATCTCCAGACTGCCACACCGCACGACGTCCACACCGGTGCGGGACCGACGGCCTCTCTTTGTCGCGAGGCCTTCTCGATCTCGGTCCCCCAGACAGGTGGGAGTGCATTCGGGGTGTTCTTCGCCTCGGGATGCGGCGTCATAGCCATGCCATAACTATCCATAACAAGCCATGACAAAAAACACACACGCATGGAAGATCATGGGAAGTGGATGCCATGATGTTTCTGGTTTCTTCAGCATGAGATGCTTTCAGAAGGCGAGGATTCTTTTGGTGACCATGTTAGATCAGAATCCTGGAATCCCTGTTGACCTGTTGCGCTCTACTCTGCTTGATTCTTGATGGCTCAAGACTGACTGAAATCCTTGACTCGGTCACTCAGTTGTTCTGTTCGGTTGATCTATACCCGAAGCCTTCATGAGCTTAACAACCACTTAATACAAGCCTTCTGAGTTCGTGGGAGCGGCCAGTCACACCAGCAGGAGCGGCCGGTAGCACTCAAGAAGCACAAGTGCCGAATTCTGGCCGCACGAGTGAGTTCATGCCGCGTATTGGGGAAAAATCGACTCTACATAAGCAAGCGCTCTTAAACTGAAGACATGTTGCTGTTTCTGGACTTTCAGGCTGTATGTCTACACTCTACGCCTTCAGTTCCACAATCAACAGTGCCTAACAGTTCTTGCCATGTGCTTTTCTGAATAGAGAGAGCGTGTGCGTACATAGTTTTTTTTAAAACTTCTTTGGCGATCTCTTGGAATTTCCTTGTCCGATTTGCTACATGCGGCTCACGTGTTCCTTTCCAGCAATTCCGCCAGACACAGACTGACAGACATGCAACATGTGCTTTCTCTTTCTGCACAAAGGCCTTTACAGTATGCCTTAGGACGTCCTTTGCATGCTTCTCAACTTGTTTGTATCAGTAAACCTGCTGCTCAGTTGCTCGTCCTCGTTGGCTCAGGATTCTGCGGCACGTATGATCTTTGTGAGTTTGGGCGAGACGAGGACTTTTGCAGCAGCTCCTGCTACATCGGCGCCAGCACTTTGGGCCGGAAAAAACAAAGCGTTTGGGGGAGTGTCCGCCTACTCAGTTCCTGGTCAGACATGAAAAAACATGGACTAATGGAAGGTGATCATGTCAAACAGAAGCAGATTCAACAAATATATATATATATATACATAGATTGAATGGCTTTGTGGGAGGAGATGTCTTGTTATGTCTTGTTAGGTGTGGGAATCTTCAACGTTTTTGCGGTGCTATAGTACGGCCCCGACTGTTTGAATGCCATTGAATAGTAATACTTGATCCTTGGGCCAGTCCCGGGATGGAAGAAACTTTTGTGTCAACCATCTCATTTAAGGTTTCCTGATTGCTTTTTGAATGCCACCCAAGTGCTCTCATCCCCTTGCCCTCTCACATTATACATACAAGTTTTCAACAAACAATTGTTTTTATTTATTATAGTAATTTATCTATATAATGCTTTATAAACTGATTGGATTCATTGCATTCCTCCGCTCGACAAAGGATGGTTGGCACGCCAAAGTTGTCATGCCTTGTCAATCTTGGAGGGCAGTACGGCAGTCGCCCACTTCACAACCCCACGCTCTTTCTCAAACATCATGTGGACCATCCACTTAGTCCCTTTTTCTGGCCGCGCCCAAGACTCAACTCTCGTGCATTTTTGCCTTCATGAGGCAAGGGCATAGAGGCTTTGGACTGGGATACCTCCGAGGCTGCCTGCTGGCTGGGCGGCGAGGCGCCACTGGACACATCCAGACATTTCTGAGAAAGAATGGCAGAAGCTTTCGCCAATTCTGGAGTGTTCGCTGGGAAATGGTCCATATATACATGATTATACATGCATGTCATGTCTTTTTTTCTTTGATTGTTGGTCATCGCCCTAGCGCAACACGCTTTGCGTCGGGCGACGATACACAGAAGTCCTCTCTTTGACGAGTCCTCTCCACAGGGCTTGGACCGATGGAAGCGGCAGCTCGTGTCCGTGCTTCGCGACGGTCATGCGCTGCTCACCACGCTGAACGAAGGCGGGATGAAAGGCTAGACAGGTCGTTGATCCGAAGGACTCTCACTATAGACTTGGATCATTGACACATATGCAAACCCGTGTAGTTATAGAGGTACAGAATGTATTGAAGTCTCAAGTTTACTTGCATACAACAGCCTTGTGTAGATGGCAGATCTTGAAATCCTATGCATGAGCATCACCATATATATGGTGTAGCATGTGAAGACTCATGGGTGTCGTTCAAAAAACAACCTAGCAACTGTGGAGTACACAGGCTCATGTTCAACTGTTCCTCATGGGGAAAAGGTTGCGATCTTACACAGGCTGCAGGCAATGCGGGTGCAGGCAGGTTCAAGGCACACTGTTTGGCACTCGCTCGCTATCACTTCGCTCATGTGAAACCATGGGGGCTCCCATGGGATCGGTGAAATTCAACGAGCATCGGATCATGTTTGCTGCGCCCCCAAGCTCTTGCAGCAGAAAGTCGGAATGAACAAACTGAGCAATGCAGCAATGTCAAATCATTTCTACGAAGTATAAATCTCCACAAGTGTTTTTTGCTGCTCCATGTTCAAACCTCAGGGTGGGTACCAGTTCCCTGTAGCCGATATTTTCATGGCAGCTCCCAAACCTGTCGGTGAAGCACTGAAACCGCCAGGGGTGTTGCGGCGGGTTGGAGTGCCTAAGAGGAAGGCGAAGGAAGTCATGTCACTTGGATCAAGGGGCGGGCACGGCACCGCCGCACAGCTGCATCTGGCGGGTGAGATGACAAACTCTGCACCTACCACGGCACAACAAACACATTAATAATAGCTATATCATTGTGTTTGCCGGCCCCCAAGTTATAGGGGCAAAATTGGCATGTCAAGACTCTGGGAATGTTTAAGAAATAGCACCTTTTTTTTGAGACAACACTATGGAGAAAAAGCACACTGGAAAAGTGTGTCTTTTGGGTGGGCCAGAAAGGGGGGCGAGGGGGAGCGGGGGAAGCAAAACAGGGAGCAGGGGTCCAAGGGATCCAATGGGCCAATAGGATACAATCGTATGTCGCATGTATTTGTTCAATAGTTTTTCCTGACTTCTAGGCCACTTACTTGACCTTACTTGGGTGACACGAACGAGGGACACGAGCCGCCTTCAAAGTCGAAACAGCCCCTTGGTTTGAGTGCTGCCCCAGATTTGAGACTACTTCATTTGATTTCATTTGCATGCCAAGGACCATCAAGGACCCCATACAAAGCGGCGAATGTCGTTATGAATCGCTCCCACCTGACCGGCCGGCCGTTTTGGTCGTCTTTGCGCGTGGTCCCAGGCAGGACGTGGAGGACCTGCGGCGTGGCGCTTGGTCGCAGCCGGAGCCACCCTTGAAGGCGTGGAGCCGTCGTTCGGCTGCTTCGCTTCATGTGGGTTCTGCCAGTAATCACCCACAGCTGATGTTTCTTCCCGAAGCGTCCTGTAGAAGCTAGAGGAGGCAGCAAGTGTTGTGTTATCCTTGTGGGCTCTAGGGTCTCTAGAGCAAACATAATGCGGGGTTAAAAGAGTGCTTACTGATAATCATATATCCATGTCCACGATCGGCCTCTTTATATATATATATATATGTTATAGTAGCACTCATGCCTCAAGCCTCAAAAAGCCTAGTGACCTAATAAACAAGTATACATGTTTTCCATGCATATATGATACTAACATTTGCACATTACGATTTAGGGTCAAAAGGTGAATTCTTACAAAGAATCATCCAGTACTGGTCCAGTACCAGCATTTTTGAAGTTACCTTTGGCATCCTTTGGCCGCATGCGATTCTGCTGTTACAAAGGTCCACATCTTTGACCCGACTCGGAAGGAAGTGCCCCTGGTCACTGTCGCCGAGATGGGCGAGCGAGCCCGTCCAGGCCTAGGCGAGCTCCGCGTGCAGCGGGCGGCACGGTGTCTCACACCGGTCAGAGTCAAGCGCTGGAGAAGGCTCTAATCCCGCTGGATGCGGCAAACCCTTGTCTAAACCCCCCTTGAGGGTTTTGACATGGATTTGAGTGAGTTTTGGGCCACATGTACTCCGAACCCGCATCCGTTCAAAAAACAAAGTGCAGGCATTTTGCAAAGCACACGTGCTCACGGGCGACATTTTTGTGATGTTGACATTTTGCCAGGGCTGCGCCTAAGTTTGCAGACCTCATTTGTCATTTACACGTTGCGGGCTTGGATGGTGGGTTAATGTGTCATCCTTTGTGGCTAGGCTATATAAATGTAATTGGAATGTGGAAATGGCGGGATTGGACTCAGAGACAAAAGATGATAAAATGACCAAGCAATTATTGCGAATGTGGATTCCATCGAAGCATTTCTGCCAGCTTCACAAAGAGTACAAAATAATTGCAGCAGGAGTCAGAACAAAAGACGGGCTTGGCCACCTGAAGGATAACAAAGCAACACGTCCACTTTGGATGTATCAGGTCCTTTTTTTTAAGTTTGCGCTTGCCTTCCTATGCATGCTCTACTTGATTTTTCATGCCCCTTCCCCTTCCCTTACCTGCACCCGCGAACACTTCCTCTCCGGCCTGAACTCCGTGGCGCGTCTCGCTCCAAACGGGCCGTCGACTCTAGACGCTCGGTCTATAGACGCGCGGACGTCTGTCCGTCCGGTCGGCGCGGACGTCGACGTCCCAGGCTGGCACTTGGTGCTGAAGGACGACAGCCTTCGATCCTACGCCTCCCTTTGCCGCAACGCCGTGCCGCAGGAGAGACGGTCTGACGTGATATCTGGTCGTCGACGTGAAGTGATTTGACGCAGTGGATCGGTAAATTGGTTAACGGCATTCGATTCCGGTCCGTCTATGGTGAGAAGACGAGAAGAGCTACTGGACAGAAGACTGGATGAGCAGCCACTGGGACCAAGTCCTTCCTGCTTGTAAGAGATTCAACTATGTTTGGGGCTGGAGGGGCCCTCCGACCTCTTTTCCGGCTCAGAACAGACCCCGAGTGGTTGGATCCGGGGAAGATATTGAGGCCACCGAGTAAAAGAGAAAGAGAGCGAGCGAGCGCGAGCCCATGTCATGCCGCAGGACATGGCCTGGAGCTGGTTCGAGCAGCTTCGGACACAACTGCCATGGCAGGCTGGATCTGATGATGTGCTTCTAATCATTGGTGATGTCCAACCTTGAGCTGGTAGGTTTGGAGATGTCCTGCTAGTGCTTTACGTAGCTTATTCACAACCCGTCCACTTGGCCATGGCATGTGATGGCGACCAATAGTCATCCTTAAAACCAACCTCAATCTGGCGCTTGGTGTTTCAGGCAAGGCTGACGATCTAGTATGGAACTAGTATCTCGAATGTCCTTTCCAGGTCTTGAACTTTGGTGGCTCATATAGGAGAGACAGTTAAAGGGACGAAGTTCTCTTTTCCATCCGTACTCCCTTGCACCACTTTTTATGTCCTCACCATGAGTAAATACCATGGGCGTCCAACCAAGCCTGGCATCACCTGGCCTCCAAACGAGTTGAGCATTGACCCAAACCGGATGTTTGGCGCCAGGACCTCTCCGATTCGCGGTACCAGGAAGAGGGCAAGTACATGCCGCGCAGGACGATCTTTACCGTCTTCAACGGGTGCAACTGCACCTACAAATATTCAGGTGCCCAGGACTTTCCAGGGGCTGGGCAGGATGGCAGGAGAGACGTGTTGTTTTGTTTTATATAGGACAGTTGTAGGATGTTGTAGGCCTGACTGTCAATGCCGATGCACCTCATGGCCTTTAAGCCCCGGTGGCCAGCTCCGTACCCAGGTGTCGCAGTGAAGCCGACCATCGAGCCACCCTTTGTGGCACGGATTCGCCTCTTTCCCTTGATGAGGGGAGTGGCCTGCGCAGGGCACGGTCCGGCGTGGAGTCATGTATTCCAGGAAGTTGGGCCGGAAGGCCATGGAAATGATTTGTTTCCTCGGACATGACAAAAACATCCAGAAACCACCTCATGCTTTGGGAGCTCCTCTGTGTAGGCCGACGTTGTGGAAAGATATGCAATAGCAAGATATGCTATGGCATACATACACACTTGTTTTCTTCTCCGAAAGATGCAAATTATCCTTACATTGACATGCCGCCTATGCCCAGCCGAAGCGAACATCCACCTATGGAAACGTGCGCGTATGGCCGTAGGCGTCCCTCGCCGCATCCGAGGTGAGTATTGCGTGGCAGCCAGCGGCCTGGCAACGCAGCCCAATTGTTGCAACATCAATCTCTATCGAACCTGGGCTGTCTCGATCGTGCCACAGATTGGTCCAACATGCCAGGCTCTAGAGCCGTTTGCACGACCAGTGTGCTAACGGTTGGCGAGCGACGTGACGAGTGTTTTCTGAGTTTTCGGACTGAGGAGATGGCCGTGACTCTGTCGGTTGGCACACAGATGACGAGGAGATGCTTTGTGCCCCGCGCATGTTCCGCGACAGGTCGCCCGCAACAACTGTTCAAAAATTCCTCCACTTTTTGGATCTGCTTTTGGGGTAGCAGAAGGAAGGTCACCATCACCAACGCAAATGTGCAATGTGTCACTGGTCCACCTAACTACATGTTGTGCTTATGTTTTAAGCGGATGTATCATATATTATAATGTGTATTAATATGTAATATAGGTGTCATTAGGTGGTGCGGGAATTCATTCATCAAATTGATATCCACGTGCTTTTGTTTGAGGAAGTAGGGTTTCACCCGGTGGGAATTGGAATGCCCAGACTGGAGGGGTGCTCTGGAAATGGAACTTTGCGTAGCCTTTGGCAACGTGTCGAAGAATTACACAGTAAACGGCATCCTCAAGTTGACAGCCCTCAAAAGATCAATCCCGTATCCAGCAGCAAGGCCATTGTTCTCATGGTTGGAGACCTCCACTTGTTCGTGGTCCGCCTGGTCAACCACAGCTGACAAATGGGTATCCCAAACGCTGCATATTGAAAGCACTATATATTATTAATATTATATATATATGCTTATATACACCTTCATCAATCCTCATTCAGATGCAGAATTTGAGCCTCTATGGGAAAAAAGGGTTCTGGCATCAGAGTCTTGTCTCGCAATTCAGAGGCTGTTTTTGGCCTAAGCGAGGAAGTGCCCCATTCAATGCATGTTATTCATGAAGCCATTGCTCAATTCACCACCACACCCCTCACCCAGCGCTCAAAATGAAGTGGAAACTTTTCTTGTGCATCCTTTGGATGTCTCCACCATGCTCTCAGCGCACTCTATGGGCACTGAGTCTGGGCTTGCTCTTTCCCAGGGCATTGCGGCATCATCCACCAAGATGGCTTATGGCTAATTCCATCCTGTGATCGTGCGTCGCGGAGGGCATCAAACACATTTGTAGGAAGCAACGCCTTTCTTGCAGAACACTGCCAAACTTGTCGGTATTGTTTGTTTGGCATGGTGCCAAAACTCCACTCGTACATGCACTTCAGAAAGAACTTTGATGATGCCTCTGCTGAGAATCGGGTGGTGACACTAAATCCGGCTACCTTCAACAACAGTGGCTCTGAGGATTCTTTTTGGGGCGTGTAGCCCAGTTCCTCACGGAGATGTACAATCCGTAACTTCGAGAAAAAGTTATTTTAGCTTTATCAGGTCAAACAAAATTGACATATTTGCAAAGCTTCACAGAGTGTGACAGAAGCTGACATAAGCTGAGATTCCGGCAATTGACCGGCATACCTGCAAGCTTTGATTTTATTGCTAAAGGCTGCATATGGGCCAGCGACGGTGACATCATCAAGTCATGTTCACACATGGCAAACTACAAAAGGCAGAATTTGAAATTTGGAGGCAAATCTTCCCATTAGAGGCGATCTTCCCATCCCAAACTCAAAGGCGGAAATTGTGAACTCTAGATCTATGTTCCCTTCTTCCGAAGTAGGCTACGAAGTCCAACTCTCTAAACATCGCCAGGCTTCTTAACCAGACACTTCCAGCGAAGAAATGACGGAGAACTCGAACACGCGACGCTTCAACCCCCAGCGACGACCAGGAGCTCTTTGAGGGTGGCTACAATGACATTTGCATTTTAAGCCTCTCCTTGGGCGCCACTCGAACCTTCGAGGCGCGATTGATTTTTTGACTAACAACTTTTTGTTGTCGCAACACGTGGAGCATCTTGGGACCTTGGTTTTGGTGGCCGAAGAGATCCGAAGACCCGTGCTAACGGCGCATAGAGCCACATGACAGCGACAACAGGTCTCATGACACTACCAGAGAAGACGATCCTTTGTTTTATGGTGACTAGTCCGTAGGCTCCTGAACAATTGATATGAAACTGGACACTTGCATGTTTTCTTGTTTTTTGTTTTAAAGGCCTGTAGGAGCCCACTCCTCATTCCCTAGGCAAGCCGTGACGGGGAGGCCGTTCTCCGCCCAGGTGAAGCACCAGCCGGGCTTCGGGGTGGCCCGGGGCAGTCACAAGGGCCCAGCAGAGACCTCCTTCGCGGTTAGGACCGGGTGGAACGGGGACTGAGTAGAAAACCGGATGAAACCGGCTTAGCAGCTGATGATAATCTTGGGATGTTTTGATGTCCACTTTTGGAGAAAAAGAGGATTCATCACGTGGCAGCTGGTTCCCGCGCAAGTTCATGGTGCAATCAGTTCGAGCTACCGTGGTTCCAAGAAGTTGTTTGGACATGTTTGGACTTAACAGGGCCGCTGGAATAGATGTGTCCCCCAAAGCGGCGCCCTGAGATGTCCTGAGACTGCACCAAAGAATTGTTGAGCATGGTGAGTCGTCGAAGTGAGGTGAGGTTGTGCACGGATGTTCCTGCGTTTTCCTGGGTGCCCATTGCACTATTAGTATTTATGCTGGTGACTTCATGGAATTGAGCGGAGTAGCATTGACACCGGGTAACCGGGTCAATCATTGACAATTAACGTTTTCAATACAGAATGATTGATTGAATTGTGGGTTTTGCTAGTCTGCTGATATATATATATAATAGATAGTTACAGTTAATTATATATATATGTTTGATTGATAGGCTTGCTTGTTTGCAAATTGTTGCCGTGTTGCCACGATTCCAACAGCCCCATGGCTCCGATCCAGGAACGGGGACCTTTGCACGATGGAGGGGAAGTTTCAACGTCGCTTGGGTGGCGTAAGAGATCCCTTTGCATGGGGTGTTTGGTCCCCTTCGTGGCAGAATGAATCGGTTGATTCGCCCGTTGGCCCGTCCCCTGCGAAGATGAGCAATAGAAGATGTGCCATGGGATGTCAAGCCATCCTCACATAGTTTCACATGTTGCTTCCACATGTTTCACAGGTAAACATTCCACAGCCCACATCTGGGGAGGCATGATAGATAGATGACTGATGACCCGTTGGCGATGTTTCGTTTCTTTCGCCATCCAAAGGCCACTACCTCCATGCCGTTCCAAAGGACGGGGAACCGGAGACGGGACGCACGAAAGATATGAAGGGTTTAAAGCTGACTGGCTGACTCTGGCTGACTGGATTCACACAAAGTCTTACGATGAATATGTTTTTGTTATTATTCATTTTTTGGCCTAGGTCATACACAAGAAGTGGCTTCGCATGCGAGGATTCTTTGAGCACTCCCCAAGATGCCGGAATCATCAAGCAAGGTGTTCTTTCCGAAGAAGCTAGTATATAGTAGCTCCTGGCATTACTTCTAAGAACAAGAAGCTACTAGTAGCTAGGGCATCGCTACTAGGAGCAAGGACGCTATTGCGTGCACTGTTCGTTCTGTTTATCGAGGGTCGCTGCCAGGAGCCGCAGGTGCGTCAAGCCCGGATCAACCTGACTTGGACCTTTGGCTTAAGAGGGGCCGCCGGTGTACAGGGAGCGCGGGTGGGGATAACTTTTAGCTAACAACTTGGTTTTGCCTGTGGCCATCCAGATCCAATCGGGTGCGGGAACTTGTTTTCTTTATTTGCATTGTATTCCCCCAGAAGAGCTTTTCTTCAATCTAAAATTCTGAATTTTTCAATGTATCCTGATCAACCTTGTAAGCACATAGGGCAAAGGGTGTCATTGTGTCATGATCATCTCAAAAGGCAACCTTTGCTTTGGCGGGACCCTTACAGGCTATTCTGTTCCTGTGGCCCCCGCCCGCATATAGATGCATATAGTGGATTATAGTGGTCGGATGTCCAGTTGGAGGTATGTCAGACATATTAGACTTCTTGACTTTGATCGGTGGTATGCTTCATCATGCTCCATCATGTTCATTCTTACACAATATCCATATACTGTGTATATGATTATATATTGACCCATCCTCATTGGTTTGATCTGAATTCTCCATTTTTGAGCCTCATGCCTCATGTTGCTTTGTTTTGCTGACTTCTATTCAATTCTACTCAGTTATGTCAATGCTCAGGCACAACTGCGGGGGGGGGATCATGTTTGGCTGAGCCATTGGGAACACCAGAAAACTGACAGTGTTTTGCATGAAGTTTATTCAGACCTGAGCAGGATGTTAAGGACAAAGTCCCTTTAAAACAGTTTTTGGTCGATAAGAACGGGCTAAATCGTCCGGCCACAACACCTCAAAGCCACCCCAATCGGCGAGTAACATGATTGGATGGACAGAACATGAGTCAGCTGCGTACACATGAGTCAGAAAGACTGATGGGAACAGTTTAGACACGGTACGGTGCTGCATATGGGCCAGAAGGGCTTAGTACCTTTTTGGGGTCCGATTCAGTGACGCGCACTGAATCGGAATCCGGATATGCTTGATCGTGTAACATTGTGTTTACTTCTTTTGTTTAAACATTTTATTGGATGTGTTTGGATTAATTGGTATGTTTTATGTGAAGTGAACATCATCCAACCGCAGTGAAACGGCTGGGCGAAACCCTATGACATGCAAGGCAGGACCCTTCCCTGCTCATTCTACGCCGAAAAACCTGCCATCATTTGCCTGGCATTGGAGACTGTAAAGCAATCCTAGTTGTGTTTTGCAGTTTGTTTCGGATAAGGCTGCGGTGAATGCGGTTAAGAACATTGATGCAACATGGTGCATGGTTCCATTCATTGGAGGGATTTGAACAGCATGTCCAGTGGGGGCATACTGAAGCTTTCTAGGCCCTTGGATCCCATAACATATTGTTCGGGCACCAGTTTTCTCAAAGCCATTTCAGGGACCCTAAGTTCCTAAGAGTTTTGGACGGAGCCCATGTTTGTCCCATAGAATGCCTTGAAATCATGTGCTGCGATCATAGAAGCCACTTTTCAAGCTTCAAGAGACCGTTCGTTCTCAATCGGCGCTGGGATCCATCTCATCCTCACCTCGTCCATCCTCGATCCATCCGTCCATCTTCCGGGTCCATCCTTGGCCACCCTCATCCTCAAAGCACTTGTGATGATGCCCCCATCTTGATTACAGAATGCCTTTCCTAATTCCTCAACCTTGCTGCTACGGTCAAGTTCATTCGCCACGACAGCCGCTTCTCGTTTGAGGCGCTGGATCACCAAGCACAATCAGGTGGATGGGTGTCCCCTTTGCGGACCTGGGAATTCGCGCGCACCCCTAACGCCCTCCATTTGCTGAGAGCACAGATCGCACATGATCGCACAGATCGGTGGCCTGACCTTGGCGCTGGATTGTGGGCCGTACCCATGTTGCGGCCACACTTTTCTGGGCGTGCTCAGAAAACAATTACATCATTTCAATATGCCTTTGGCACTACCAATGTGTCAAAGAGGACTTGGATGGTCTTCGAGTTGAATAATTTGGATCCAGTGGAAGAAAGCAAGATAGCACAAAATAGCCCATCCAGGCCCCTTTTACAAGGCCAATAATTCATGTTCGTTCTTTTTCCCAGATCCCTGCTTGGCCCTTTGTGAAGCTCAACATGCCTCGCCTGTGAGGGAGACCGGTGAGCCAAGTGTCACAGTGAGTTGCTTCTCATGGATACAAGGGAGGCAATATGCTTCTTTCTAAGATCAATCTCTTGCGTTGTCACCTCCTATTGTTTCAATCATTTCGATCAACGCAACCACAACCGTGTTATTTCTGTCGCCCAGTTCCTATTGAGTGATAGTCGATCAGTGATCAGTGACAAGTATGCAGGGTATCTGGTAGGGGTTCGTGTTTGGAAGGACACCCAGGGTCAGGGTGAACAGCTTTGAGGCAGATTTTGTGGGGATCATCGTGAGAGGCCTGGAGACAGTTCTGGTGCAACATTAAGATGCTTAGTGGGACTTCCTGAAGTGTTCTGAGAAAGGTGGGTCCCACCTCCGCAAAGTTGTTTTTGTTTGTGATTGATTGACGACGACGAGAGGTCTCATATCAAGTTCAAATAGCGCTCCAAATATCCAACAAGCAAACGTTAACAAATGCATGTATGTCTATCCCAGTGGATCCAAGTGTTGCCATAGACACTACTTGGTGTCAAAGTGTCATATGAGCAACTTGTGTCATATTACTCACTTGCCCCCCCAAGTGCGTTACTCGACGCTTCTGGCCCGAGGCATCCCCAGGCTAACAAGCATAACTGTCTCACATCACCTATGTTTGAGAACTTTTCAGGTCATCAAGGGACTTTGAGGATCCATGATCTAATCTTTTTGGAAGGACTCACCCACTTCTATGCATGGAACCTTCAGATCTAGTCAACTGGCTCCTGGAGCATTGGAACTGGTAGCCTTTCAGACAGTCAAACACCTTTCGTGACTATGCCGGGTCACACTGCCATGCTCTTCAACAACCAGCTGAAAGTGAAGAAGAGCGCCCAGAAGCCAGGTTCGTGCCCCTACACCTGCCTATATGGAAGGTTCACACGTTAAGCTGATTTTTTAAAATTTTCTGTGGAGTGCATGCATGACATTGAGATTCTGACATGCAATTTGCCGTGATTTGCTCAAAGGACAGTGGCTGACCATGACATGATTAATTTTGCAGTTGCACATTTGTGGTTATTTTGCCACCCTCACCAGTCAAGCCTCATGGGGTCGTTGTCGATGGATGATATGATCACCCGTCAAGGGGTGCGTGGGTGGATCATCCATCAACCAGTGACGTTCTTCCTATCAGCAACTTGGCTGGGCTACATGCATTAAACCCTGCACCAACTGACCAATAATTTTGCATATTAAACAAAAAACCTTCCACGCCCAGGAAAATGCAAAGGTGATCTTTGATTCACTGGAGAAAGTAGTGCAGCCGGTTGCATCAAGAATCCGCAGTGACCCAGAATCTCAGCCTTTAGCAATATATATTGCAATTGTTTAAGGTCGTCTTGATTTGTTTCCTGACTTCGATGATGGTCAGGATCACCCTGTGGTCATCATTGGAGCTCAGGCCAAGGCCGATATGTGAAACAAAAGCAGCATGTAGCGTTCATTTTTTGGAGTTGTTTTCGCATCGTCCTTGTGATCGCTGAAGGTGAAGGAAGAAGACTTCCTAGTTGATCAGAACTTCGAGATTCTCAAGCACTACTTTTTGGATGTATGCCCACTATATCCTGATGTCAAAGAGCACCGAGTGCCTGACTATTTCTAGTGAAATCATGCTGGAATTGCAGTGGGTGTGCCAGTCATCGAGTGATCGATTATGTTTTGTTTTGATCTGAGGCTGCCATGCTTTACTTGGCAATGGTTCACGGCTTCTTCTCAGATGAATTTCTCGGGAAGAAAGGAGGCAAAGGCAAAGCAAAGGATCTTTGGCATTTATGGTCGTGTTTTGAAAAATTAACAGCTTTTTTTGCACACATGATTGCTCAGGAGTGGGCGGACCTCCAGGGAACCCGTCTCAAATGGATGGCTGCATATATTTACACCAACACCTACCGCACTGAACGATCAAGGTGGGATATGAATTAATTGTTCGAAGTAACCCAGAAATCTTGTTTGCCAAGGACCCGGCAAATTGCTATTTTGAAGGCGCTCTACCTGCACAAGTGTGCAGCTGATATCGGCGCAATTCCTGAATTCATTCCACCTGAGGAATCGGGCCAGTTTAATATCACAATTTGTACTTGACTGTGACTAGTGGCGCTTTTTTTGTAGCTGCTCTTGGCAGGAGCAACCGGTACCAGGGGACGGAGTTGAGGCTGTTGACCAGCCGATTGTCATCCCAGATTCGGAGCCAGCAGATGAGGCAGAGTGGCTTTATTGGACAGACTCCCAACCAAGAGATGATGATGTCCCGGACTGACTGATCTGGCATATTTTTTTTAAGATGCATGTACATGCAACGCAGGAGTCTCAGCTTTTGCAACCAGAAGGGTCGCCCCAGGATGAAGCTGCCACGGCCTCTTGGTTCACACTAGCTAGCTATGCACTCACGCATGTGCAAGTTCAACTACGAGTGCATGTCTGTTTCCCTTACGGCTCACCCATTGCCATTGAATTTGAGGACCCGTCGAGTGACGACGTCATCGTTGAAGTGGCAGCGCCTAATGATCCAGTACCGCAGGAAGAATCTGCAGCATCAGCACCAGGAATGGAACAATCCGCAGAACCGACATCAGCAGCAGGAGTTGAGGCTCGGGTGAATCGATTGTTCATGCTAGCAATGGTCCGCTGTAAATTTTGTTTATCCAATATTTGGGCTAATTTGTCGCCACTGGATCCTCCAACATCGATCCCACCGCAGACACCTTCTACAATGTCCCCTGTTCACGAAACAAAAAACACATCGATCGTACCAGAATATTACCCCAGGAGGAAGGCATCCACGAAGAAGAAGAAGAAAAAACACTCGAACGCAAGGCATGGTATATCACTTCAACCCTTCCCCCACACAGATTTATATGTCGAAGCGGCTTTGAACACAATTTACTGCGTTGATCGATCATGAAATTTACTGGGATCATTGCATGAGGCAGTACCTGAAGCGAAAGTGGATGGAAACAAGGACTGCAGACTGGACTGCAGCCACTCTTGTCCAGAGTCCAATTTGATTTTTGTTTGCGCATTTTTTCAGGACGTCGAGGACCTCGTGATGACGGCTGGCAATGAAGTCGAGCCAGATCATGTTGAGGTGAGGGCAAATTAGAGTTTCATGTGATTTTGTCTGCGCATTTTTTTCAGGACGTCGAGGACATCGAGATGACGGCCGGCAATGAAGTCGAGCCAGATCATG